GCTGCAAGCGTGGGTCCCAGCATGGCAGCAATGGTGAGGATGATGTAGGGCCCAGGCAGTGTTTCATTCTATTGTCATAGGGTCCTTATGAGTGAAACTGACTCTGTGGCATCTGACAACAACAACAAACAAGAGCTGTAGACCGCTCCACCAAGTGAACCATGAGTTTCATAACCCAGCTCTTACTTTTGAGCAATTTAGGGCACATTGCCAGGAGCAGGGTGGTTCTTCCGTTGTGGTGGTTTTAGGAGACCCTGGTAGGAGCTCTGGTAGCATAGTGCTTAAGCCATTTGACTGCTAATCAGAAGGCTAATGGTTCAAACCCACCAGCCACTTCTCGGAAGGAAGATTGGGCAGTCTACCTCCGTATTGATACTGCCTCAGAAACCCAAGGAGAGGTTGCTATGAGTTGGATCCTACACGACAGTGGGTTTTTTTTTTTTCTGCCTGGATGATACAAACAGTTAAGCATTCCACTTATAGCTGAAGGACTGGCCCTCGGAACCCACCCAGAGACCATTCAGCCATACCCAGGGGTGCTTCAGAACCATGCAAAGGTATCTGGGAAGATGGGCCAGGCGTCTGCTGCTGACAGATCCCGGCCGTGACTACCCTGTGCAGCACGGCTCTGTTCTGCACACATGGGTTCTTCCTGAGTCAGAACCAACTCCACGGCCATTAACCATCGTGCAGTATGTTGCCAGTTCACTTTTCAGAAAATTGTATCAAAAAGATGTCTCCATTTAACTTTCTCACTTTTGAGAGTTAAAATATTAGTCTTTTTAAGAGTTAAATTGTGTGTTTACTGAAAATGCTTGGTTGCTTAGTTTAATGGGTGTAAAATCTCACCATGTCATTTACAGTTTTTATTTGATAACTCAGGAAATTGGACAGGTGTTTGGAGGATTAAGTGGGTGATATGCATAAAGCGTTTGCAACATGAGTTTGGGGCACATTTAAGTGTTTGCTGTCATTGGGTTTCCTTTGATCAAGTCTGATGTTAATCTTTTCTTGAGTGAATTGTTCATGTCCCTATTGGGTTTGTTTGATTTCTCGGTCTTGGTGTTTTGTATTCCTGCATCCACTGATTCATTCAAGTGCTGTGTTTGCTGGGACTCTCCGTTACAGTTGACAGAAACTCATTTGAGGTTGCTGAAGTAGAAGAGGGCCATTTACGAAAGGTGGCGGGGATCTTGCAGATTCGGGCCTTCCGTCTGCCATGGCTTCTTCCCAAAGTGCCTTCACCTCCTCCTCGCCTGGGTGGCTGCGTGCTTCTCATCCTTCCACCTCAGGTTAAGCATCGCTTCCCGAGAGACCTTGTCCAGCAGCCCCTCTCCGTGAGCTACAGCCCTTCCAGCCCATCTCCTCCCCCAGCACCAGACACTGCCAGCTTCCTTTGAACTGTGGTCATTTGTAATGACTTACTTTGCTATCTTGCCTGCCATCTGTGTTGGGTGATGAGCTCCTGGCAGGCAGGGGCTCTGCCTTCGAGGCCAGTCCGGCAGCCCCAGGGCTAGGGATGGGCGTAGCCCTTGGTAATCCTCTGGGAAGGCTGCCAGGGGTGTACTCCCTCCCCCCAATTGCTCCTCTTTGTCTCCTTTACTTTGTTCTGGTGTCTGTTTGTCTGTCTCTGTGTGGATTGAAGTGTGTCCCCCCAAAATATGTATTGTAAATCCTAACCCCAATATTTATGATTATAGTCTCATTGGGGAATGGGGTTTCTTTGTTAAGTTAATGAGAGAGTATTAATGTAGGGTGTGTTTCACATCAATCTTTTTTATTTCTTTTAATCCAGGAATAGGGAATTCTTTTTTTCTTTCTTTTTTTTTAATTGTGATATGGGTGAAAGTTTACAGAGCAAATTCACTTTCCATACAGCAGTTCACATACACTTTGTCTCATGACATTGATCACAATTTACCACGATGCAACAACTCCCCTCCCACTTCCTCCCGATAATTACCTCTTCCCTGTGTCCATCCCTCCATGCACTCCTGCCCCCTGAGCTATCTCCTTGTGCATAAGCATCCCTTCTTTCTCCCATGATTGTTCTCTCCAAGGAGTGTATCTACCTCAGGTAAATGTTCAACTCATATGTGTGTCTTTTGTTTGGCTGGAAGCCACAAATGTGGGTTCAATTCTAGACCTGAAGGGCAACTAGGGACCATAGTCTCAGTGGTTCCACCAGGCTCTGTCAGACCAGCAAACCTGGTCCTCCCCCCCTTTTTTTTTTCTCTAAATGATTTTGAGTTTTGTTCCACATTGTTCTCACTCTCTATCAAGGATCTCCTACATAGATCCCCTTCCAAGTGGATGACAGTGTTAGCTGGGCACCATCTAGTTCTTCTGGTCTCATAGTTGTGTAGGCTGCAGATAGGATCATGTCCCAGTCACTAGTACTAATTGTTTCCATGAATTTTGGTTTTCTTCATTCTTCTTTGCTCTGGACGAGGAGAGACCCATCGTTGCATCTAGATGGCAGCTTGCTAGCTTTTAAGAGCCCAGTCGCTACTCACCAAAGTAGGAGGTGGAACAATATTTTGTATAGTATGTTATGCCGATTGAGCTTGATGTCCCCTGCTACTATAGTCCCAAGCCCACAGGTTCCACTACTGGGTCCCTCTGGGTAGCTGGCTGTGACCAAGCAGTGACCACAGCCTTGCCCCTTGTCAGCTCTACTGTACACCTGGAAATTCTAATCATTCACATAAACTTATAGGATCATTGTCTGCCAACCCTATACATGTTCTTGAATACACTCCCTACTTCATAGACATACCTAATAGTTCAGCCTGTCCACCCACCTATCCACTCATATACCCATGTTTGCCTTCACTGACAACGCAGTACTGTATCATATCAATCTTTTGATAAAAATAGAACAGATTAATCCAGCACAGAAGGACACATAAATGGGGGAGGGGACACCCCTCTGATCACCAAGGACCCAAGAAACAGAAGCAGAAGAGAGGCAAGGACCCGCCCTCTGAGCCCATAGAGAGAGAAAGCTTTTCCCTAGAGCCAGTGCCCTAAACTGTGAGAGTAAATTTGTTTCTTAAAGCCACCCCCTTGTGGTATCTCTGTCACAGCAGCACTAGAGAACCAAGACATTCTGCCGCCTGCCCCCCTCTCCCCCAGGAATTAATTGTTTGAGAATTTACATTTCCACCCCAGATAGACTGGATCAGAATCTACGTTTTAGCCAGAATGAACTGGTTTGAAGCCCTGATTTGCTCACAGAATGAGAATCTAAATCTGACAGCTCCCGTGTCACCCCCCCCCCCCCCAAGCTGGACAATTCAGATTCTTGGCTTAGCCATTTACCAAGGCAGGCCGCTGTGTGCCAGGATGCTTGCAGAAAGAGGATACATGTGGGGGTGGACCACTGTGGAGCATAGTGTGCAGGAGGCTGGAGGTGGAAGGGCATGCCTTCAGCATACTGGGAGTGGATGGTCGGAGGCTCAGGGAGGCTGTGGGACTGTGGGTTGCAAGGAGCAGAGAACCTCTAAAGCCTAGAATATCACAGCCACATGCAGAAGAGTGTCCAGTGTCACAAGGACTGAAGTCCACCCACTGGCTGGGCATCATGAACTTCTTTGGTTAGCTCAGTGAGGACAGGTTTTGGGGCGAGCTGGTGCCAACAGCGTTTCCATCGGGTTGCAGAGCACACAGGGAGGGAGAATGGGGGCTGCCACTCAGATCGCAGTTCCACCCGCTTGTATGAGAAGGAGAGGTGGGGGCCTGGTGGGAAGGGGCCGGCGGCAGCTGTGGTTGCTGTGGAAGACAGCTTTTGAACCGCTTTCTTACCCTGCTAGCTGACTGCTTCCTACAGCAGCACTGAACACTGGGGTGTTGGTACCGGTTGCACATGTTTGCATTGTTGTAAACTGAGGTTTCACTTTAGAGAATCAGGGGCAAACAATGTAATGCGCCCCATCCCCAGGATTTTTAGTTCTAACGTGTACCTGTTCACGGCACTTTTAAATATTTACATATTGTTGTTGTTATGTGCCTTTGAGTCAGACCTGACTCATAGCGACCCCTTCTTGGGTTTCTGAGACAGTATCACTATGGAGGAAGTAGATTGCCCCATCTTCCTTCTGAGGAGTGGCTGGTGTGTTTGAACTGCCAGCCTTCTGGTTAGCAGTCAAGTGCCTTAGGTACTACGCTATTGTTGAAACATTAACCCTCTTACCAGAGTGATGTTTGAGGGTCCTCTGTAGTTTTCTGTCATTCTCTCCAATCTGCCCTTGACACCCCTCCCAGAGGTAGGAATGCTAAAAAAGGCTTTGAACTGGTTCATTCTGGTTTGACTCCTTGCTAAGAATTGGCATTCCCATCCCAGATACATTGAATCAGAATCTCCATTTTAACAAGATCTCCAGGTAAGCAGTTTATGTCTGAAGAAGAGTCCCCTGGGAGCTTTCTAAAAAGTAGATCCTGATTCAGTGTATCTGGAGTGGAAATGCAAATACAGGTGGTTCAGCTGGAACGAACCGGTTTGAAGCCCTGGTTCTCAAACACAGACTTCTGCCCCCTTGCTGAGTGTCTTTGGAGGATCCTCCTGGCTTTCAGATGCATCCCCACTCCTTAGGGAGATGTGCTGGCCCTGACGCTCTGCTCCCAGGTCTCCCTGGGGCGAGCCCTTGTCTGTCTCCAGCCCTCCCTTCTCTGCTCTGGAGGACTTTCTGGCTTCTCTGCCCTGACCACCCAGGGTCCCCACCTTTGTGCCCTCAGCGGGCATGGCCCTCTCCTTAGGGGCTGTTTCCTTGGCTCAGCTGTGCTTACTGTGTAGCCCCCGGCTTACCATCCACCTTATTTGCTTACCGTGTGGCCCCCGGCCAGGTGCGTTGCTCATGGAACCTCTCCAGGTGGAGCTGGGCAACCTCACCTCCACCATCCAGCTTCTCTCCATTCCCACCTCTTTGGGCTCCACAGTTGACTGGACAGCTGTGTGTGTGCACGTTTTGCTAGCCTCCCCCTGGACTCTGGACTCCCAGACGGCAGAGATGTCTGTGGATGCCCAGCTCTGTGCCTGGCTCGGAAGTCACATGCCAACTGTCAGTTGGCTGCGCTCACCTGTGCTCCCCTTCTTTGCAGGGAAGCAGTTCAAGTGCACGGTGTGTGACTACACAGCGGCCCAGAAGCCGCAGCTGCTGCGGCATATGGAACAGCACGCCTCCTTCAAGGTACGGGGTTGTCCAGTGCACGGGTGCATGGGCGGGGGGCACACGCTTCACCATGAAGGTGGGGGCGTCCTTTTGTAACCTTGGGCATTTTCTTCACGTTCTGACCCTTGGCTGCATTTGAGCCACAGCTCCGTTCACTTGACACTCTGTCCCTTCCCAAGTGTAACGTGTTCCCTGCCCTTTGGAGACCAAGGCAAGAAGCAGTAGCTGTGAGGATGCAGGTATGAGAATAGACAGGCTGTTTGCATAACAGACCTGAGTGGAGGAGAGTGGAGGCTCTAGAGCAAGTGTGTGCTTTCAGATCCTGGATGGTCTCGGGAGCTCCACCTGATGTAACGGGGGTGAAGATGCCTCACCAGAGACAGTCCCAGGTGCCCAGCATGGCCCCCAGCACAAGGGGCTCAGGAGATGGTGAGGTCTCTTCAGTGCAGGTGCTATGGTCCGCGTTGCTGCTGGTTGTGGTGTAGTTATTGACAACAAGAACCACACACAGCACGTGGGTTTAATGATACACTCTGTTTAGTATCAGGCAAGCTTGGCCCTTAAAGTGGATATTGATGCTGCATAGACCACACGAAAGGAAGTCATCAAGATTTACAAACACTGTGCTCCAAAACGGTTGTTGAAATTGTGTCTGGCATGGAATGCCTGCCTGTCGAATGTGCAAAGAACCCACGGTCCTCGGCCCAGGCCCCTTTCCCTCCATCTTCAAAGCCAGCGATGTAGCGAGTCCTGTCGTGAGTCCCACTGGCTCTCCTCTCCGGCCTCCCTCTTCTGCTTTGAAGGACCCAGATAGTTAAGGACTGCTAACCAACAAGTTGGTGGTTCGTAGCCCCCAGAGGTGCCTTAGAAGAAAAGCCTGGCCGTCGGCTTCTGAAAGGGCCCAGCCTTGAAAACCCTTATAAATTCCAAGGTCTGCTGAGCATGGAAGGCTGCCGAACAACAACACGGCTACAAGCAGGGTCCAAGCATGCTATAAGCTAGAGACCATTCCTCAAGGCTTCTCCTTATATACAGGAAGCAGAATACATTCCCTAACTCAACTGGTAACAGTAGGTTCCACCATGCAGTTGATTACTAGTGTCATCGTGGGAAATACTATATCTAGCTGCCCAGCCAAGTTGACACACAAACTGAACTACCACACATGCCAATAGCAAACATTACTAAGAAAACAGGCCTCACTTTTGTACTATCCCTAGTGGGACCCAGAGAGCTCTGTGGTGCAGTGGTTAAAGTATTCGGCTGCTAACCAAAAGGTTGGCAGTTCAAACCCACTAGCCACTTCATGGGAGAAAGATGAGGCAGTGTGCTTCCATAAAGATTTACAGGTTTGGGAACCCTACGGGGGCAGTTCTCCTCTGTCCTATAGTGTCACTAGCAGTCATAATCTACTCGATGGCAGTGGATTTGGTTTTTTGTAGTTAGTGAGGTCTCACAGTTCTCAAGTAAATCATACTAATGGAGCTGACTTGCAAGATGAAACCAGTTTCTTCTTTGCTTTTCCAGATCTAGATTTCCAAAAAGGGTGTGGGGACAGCTCCTCTGACCTCCTCTGACTTCATGAGGGGGAGACAGGTTCACCATCAGCAGCAGTAGTAGCCCAAGGTTGATTCCTGTGAGGTAGAAATCAGACATGTGACCAGCATCCAACCTTTTTACCAATTCTGACACCAACCATCTCTCCTAACTTCTCTACTGGGTTCACTAATTTGTTGCAATGGCCACAAAAGACTCATAGATAATACTTATGATGATGGAGTACATTAGGGAACAGGTTACAATTCAGGTTCAGGAATGCTCAGGATGCAGTTCTTCCATCAGGACAGCCTCCCCTCGGCCATGCCCTCAGCTGTGCCTCTGTGTGGCTCTCGGCCTGGCGTCTGTGCTGCTTGGGCAAGTGTCATGGAGCTCTTTGAGCTCTACTGCTAGGCACCCCCTCCACCGGCAAGCCTCCTGCCCAGAGACGCTCAGCTTTCTTGCTCTGTCTCCTGCTGGGGTTGCTTCTGCTGCCTCTGCTGCTGCTGTCTGTCCACTGTCATCTCAGCACAGGGATCTCGGGTCCAAGGACGCGCTCCACTCCCAGGTCTCCTCTGTCTTGAGCGTAGGAAGAGCCCCTTTTCTGCCTCTAGAAGGGCTCATTTTAAGCCTAGTGGGATGGCAGACTGCCCATTCCTCACATTAGGGTACCATCCACCTTATTTGCACAGTCCCACCCCCACAAGGGGGTCATGCACCTTATTGGCATCATTAGCAAACTCTCCAGTCGCCTTGGTGGGCCACAAGCATCTGACATTTGCAGAGTTCCACCTAGTCATCCGATGGGAGTCACAAAGACCTTGACCGAAAGAGCTGCACCAAGTAATTCACTGCAGCACAAGATTATATATTATAAATCATATACATAGAGAGATCTGGCTATATACATAATTTACAATGTATAATTTGTGTCAGGAACACTGTAATGAGGGCCGGCTCCTATACTGCTTTTTTAAATTACATGTTTTTATTTATATATTTATTTAAAAGATGAAAGTAATACGTGTTCACTGTGTAATATTTGCAGAATGCTCTTTGATCCCTTGTAGAGTGTTTCCATGTAATGTTCTTATTTTTACATGGTGGAGGTCATACGGTAAATGCGTCCTTTTCTGATGGGGACTTTTATGATCGACATAAAGCTGTCTTGGAGAATGTGGCTTCACAGAGTGGCCAGATGGTTTGCTAAGAATATTTTACTTGAGAGTTAGAGTGGCCTCCCAGGCAAGGCAGTGCCGGAGAGTCTCCGTGCCAATAAATGCTGCTGTTTGTTTACCATCATTTCATGGGGATCATCCTGTCGCTTCAAAATGGACTTATAACTGTTTTTGTTAATGATTACTGAAGGATGGCTATATCTTAATTAATTAACTGTTTCCTTCAAATTAGATCAGGAGCTCTGGTGGTGCAGTGGTTTAAGCATTTGGCTGCTAACCATAAGGTCAGCGGTTCAAACCCACCAGCTGTTCAGCATGGGAAAGATGAAGCAGTCTCTTCCATAAAGAGCGATAGCCTTGGAAAGCCTATGGGGCAGTTCTGCTCTGTCCTCCAGGGGTGCTATGAGTGAGAATTGCATGGGTTTGGTTTGGTCTTGTGCTTTCGTGACTGGACAGCTCAGTCTGTCCCAGGTTTTGCTGTAATAGCTCCGCGATGGGCCTCTCCATGCGTTCCCATGCTGTCCTAAAGCCTGTGGGGGCTGTAACGCCCTGGGTGAGGCCCTTGCTCCACTGACAATTCACAGATGCATCCCTGGGGTGGAGCAGACGCCCTCCCCTTAAAGAAGTACAGGGAGGGGGTACTTGGACGAGATAAGCCTGCTGAGTCAGCAGTCTGTAAACATAAATTGCTCCTTCAGCCTGCTGCTCCGTCCTTTGCTTCCTTATAAGTAAACATGCTGATGCACTGTTATGTAAGGCAACGTGAGGGCTGGGCAGGAATCACCTTGCCCATGTTTCCCTCTCCGTTAGACACACGCTGACTGTGACTCAGTCTTCAAAGCCTTCTCAGTTACAGGTTGTGCTATTTGAGTCATTGCTCAGAAGCCCAGCAGGGCTGATCGATTCAGCGGCAGCCTCCTTGCCCGTGAATCAGAAGCTACTTTATTTATTTATTGTGATTTGGGTGGAAGTTCACAGAGCAAATTCATTTTCCCTACGACAGTGCACACATATGTTGTTTCATGACACTGGTTGCAATCCTCATAATGTAACAGCTCTCTTCTCACTTCCTCCCTGAGGTTACCTTTTCCCTGTGTCCTTCTTTCCTCTGCATTCCTACCCTCTGAGCTATTTCCTTGTACAGATACTGCCCTTCTGATCTCCCATGGTTGACTTTTCCAAGGAGTGCACCTAACTGGTATAAATGTTCAACTTATACACCTGTATGTTGTTTGGCTCTGGTGGCGTAGTGCCTAAGACATTTGACTGCCAAACCAAAGGGTATTGGTTCAAACCCACCAGCCACTCCTCGGAAGGAAGATGGGGCAATCTACTTCTGTAGAGATACCACCTCAGAAACCCAATGAGGGGTCACTATCAGTTGGGACCAACTCGATGGCAGTGAGTTTGGTTTTTTTAGTTGTTGTTTGGCTGGAAGCCATGGGAGTGGGTTAAAGTCCAGTCTTTATCATACCACTAATACTTGTCTTTTTTGTGATTTTGAGTTTTGTTCCACGTTTTTCTTCCACTCTATGTAGACTCTCCTACACTAATCCCTTTCCAAGTGATTGACAGTGGTAGCTGGGCACCAACTATTTCTTCTGGTCTCATGGTCACATAGGCTGAGGTTTCCATGGTCCACTAGTCCCGTGGACTCATTGTTTCCATGTATCTTTGGTTTTCTTCATTCTTCTTTGCTCTGGACGAGGAGAGACCAATTGTTGCCTCTTAGATGGCCACTTGCAAGCTTTTAAGACCCCAGTTGAAAAGTGACTTTATTTTTAAATGAAGTTTATGTTTCCACTTAAAAGAGGTGGTCATTCAGAGGGGAGTTTTTTGGCTGGCCGTGCACGTGTCATTATGTCCATGTGAGAGGTCTGGCACTGAGGTTCCTTACCGTCAGTTGTCTTTGAGTTGTTGCTGACCCATGGAAACCTCATGTGGGTCAGAGCAGAGCTGTGCTCCATAGAGCTCTTCAGTGACTGACTTTTTGGGAGCAGACTGCCAGGCCTTTCTCCCCAGACACTCTGAGAGGACTTGAACTGGCAGCCTTTCAGAAAGCTACCACACGCACTGACCGTTTGTGCCACCCAGGGCCCTCCTGGGACTTAGGCACCCTGTGGAATTGAGCTGTAGTGGCCGATAATGAGAAGAGCAGTTGTGCTTTGTCCTTCTCGCCTTGAGAGGCACTGAGGTCGGGGTGGGAGGGAGAGAGAGTGAGTGAGAGCATCCCGGAAGCCCAGTTGGGGCTTGTGTCAGAGCCCTGTTCAAAGATGGGTCTTCAGAAGTACCGTTTCAGCTGCT